TACATCAATGTATTATTTTAAGTCTGAAATTGATATGGATTGATCAGAAGTTGCTATGTGTATTGTTTATTTGAAAACTATTTACAGAGCAGCCTCAGAATTGAGATTAAATATTTTTGATCACAATAGTAAAGGAACTATTACAGAACAAGTTTTTCAATAAAATCAGAACATTAATATTTGAGTGCATGGATTAATACATCTGAACTCATGCAGTAGGAACTAGGAAATATGAAATGCTAGAACCAGACACAACTTTCTATATATTTTTTTATTTTAATTTGATTAAACTGATTTTTTTCTTAACGTTCTTGGCATTTTCCCACACAAAGCTAAACAAAGAAATGTTGATTAATGTGTGTGTGTGTGAGAGAGAGAGAGAGAGAGAGAGAGAGAGAGAGAGAGAGAGAGAGAGAGAGAGAGAGAGAGAGAGAGAGAGAGAGAGAGAGAGAGAGAGAGAGAGAGAGAGAGAGAGAGAGAGAGAGAGAGAGAGAGAGAGAGAGAGAGAGAGAGAGAGAGAGAGAGAGAGTTGGTTCAAAAAAATAAAAAACCCGACCGGAGCGGAGGTAGTGACAACAGCACGTCAGCTCTGTTTTGTCAAATGCACCATGTCAGTTACGAAAAAAGTAACTTTAAATATTCAACCGAAAAAGAGGCGAGCTGAAGAAAACCTAGGGAAAGCTGAAGAAACGTGAGAAACAGTGAAGCCATCACAGCGCGATCCGTTACTGTCTGTGTGTGTGCGTGGATGAGCCGGCCGGCTAGAGAGTTTTGTAAGTAGGGAGGGGCGGGCGCTCTATGTGACTGGCCAATCACAGAGCGTGAAGACAGTCAGTTACCCAATGAAGATTTTCCTTCAGCACGATTACAGATATTGACTCGTTTTACTCGTTTCATGCTCGTATTCGTCAAAAATGCGTTATCCGTACCGGTTACTCGTCTGAAACGAGTATCCGGCTCATCCCTAGTTACCACATTTGAAAACATTTAGGCAGAAAGAAACATGAATTTAATAACAATTTCCTAAACCTATGTGAAAGAACAGAATCGAGAAAGAGATGCAATATATTTTTGGCTAATTGGTTTTGACGCAGTGTGATGATGTCATTGGCAGGCGCAGGAACCCGAGCGAGCAGATCTGGGAACTACAGCGCTAGAAATCTACAATCGGCATTGCATTCTCTCGATGGATTCTCTAAAATGCATTCTCAATGGCCTAGTGGTGCGGTGTCTGTCCTGGGACAGGGCCATTGGGGTTCAAATCCTGGTTGGGTCATACCAAAGACTTTAAAATACAACCCAATGCCTCTCTGCTTGCCATTCAGCTTGAAAGGGGTTGGACTGGGGGCTTAAGTCAGATGCTCAATGCTCCACACTGGGAGGGGTCAAATGCAGAGATGAATTTCAACAGTGTGTGATCATGACTGATAGGACATTGACTTTTAACTTGAATTAACTGTAGGACGATCAAAGTCTGAGGAGTCCTGCTGAGGTTGCATGCTTTCTGCTCCACAGGTAACAACATTTACCGTAATGTTTTTGTAAACTAGAAACAGAAAGAAATGAAAGAAAACAATCTTTTATATAGCGCCTCTCGCGATGAAAATCACAAGGCGCTTCACAAAAACAAAAAATTAAAGTATAAAAAAAATTTCAAAAAATTATTTAAGTATGTTTTAAATGAGAACAAATTTAATATTCAAATTTTTTCAAAAGTAAGGAAAGGGAGATAAAAAATGAACAGGAAAGAGGGAAAATAGTGGATCCCGGGAAAGGCGGAATAAGAGCAGAATAAGCAAAGTGTGGTGACGACGGTCATACAAAAGCCAGCTTGAACAGGTGAGTTTCAGCTGCTTTTTGAAGGAGACCACTGAGTCCACTGATCTCAGGCTCAGGGGAGAGAGTTCCAGAGTCTGGGGGCCACAGCAGCAACAGTCATGGCAATATGGTGTAAAACTACCCTGAAATGTATGTACTGCCTCCTAGTGGCAGGAAACCACACACTGCCACTTTAAAACTTCATTTTAGTTTATATGACAGATTTTTTAAAAAGACTAATTTGTAATGAACCAGCTTTAATTCCCCTCAAACAAGCACACGTGTATTCATTATGGCTGACACTGACAGGAAGCATACATCAAATTGCAGCTGCAGAAGTGGAATGCAGCCCATGTTTCTAATGGCAAACACAAACTGCAAAATGCATTGCTTTCCTCTGTGAGTTGTTTTTAGTCCTCTTTTATTGACTCTATGTTACAATATGTGTGTGTTTGTCTCCGATCTGCAGAATTAAATTATTCACATTTATCTGAGCAGAGAAGGTGAAGCCGCCAACATTCCTTGACTGGAAAAGCAACACCACTGTTCTGGTTAGAAATATTAAAAAGATAATCAACGTTTTATTGAAAAAAATAAACACAAACTGTTTTAGTTAATGCCAAAAGTGTAAGTTGCAGTCAGTCCTGGTGGAAGAAATGACTTTTCTCTTCTGTGGAGGGTTCTAGATGAAAACAAAATGACAGGAAAGAGAAGAATAAACATCTTAGATGTACGTGCACTCTTAGATGTTTTTAGTTTTTGAACTTAAATCGAAGAACAATGCAAATTTTTCATTTGCAACTATGTAAATTTTGAGAAAAAAGGGAAATGTGAACTTGATCTATGCTTGTTTTCTGAGTTCATGTAGAAATGTAATAATAATATTGTTTAAATCCATTGGTACTGCACCTTTCATTCCAACTGAATTATGCTTTTTAATAGGGATGGTCAAAAATAACATTTTCAAAAGTTGATCATGACTTTTGTCCTTTTTTACAACAAACTGGACTGCCAGAAGATATCACACCTGTAGTGTCAAGGTGTCTGAAAGAAGAGATTGGAAAAATGACATCTCTTCTGCCTGCAGGAAATGATAGTTCCCAAGTTCTGGGACTAAATTGTTTCACACATTATTTCTGTAAAGTCAACCAGGGCAAATGGTCCTCCTTACAGAGGAGGAGCCTGAGAAGATCTGCTGCTGTCAAAAGGTTTTAATTTCACAGATTAACGTTTTTTTAGATGTTTGATGTTATTGTGTTCTCTGTATTAGATTTAATACACAAACCTGACTTGCCTACGAGATCCGTGTGTTCTGATGGTTCTGATGAAAAAGATAGAGATGATGGCAGCTTTCATCGGGGACAACTAACTTCCAAGAAAATCTGAGCAGAGGCAGAGGAATAAGGAATCTGGTTCCCAAGAGCCACTATCCTGCACGTTTTAGACGTTTTACTGCTCAAACAGCTCATTTTGGCCAGCAGTAGATCAGGAGGTAGAGCGAGTTGTCCATTAACTGGAAAGCTGCAGGTTTGATCCCAGCGCCCGGCAGAGAATTCTGCTGTTGTGTCCTTGGGAAAGACACTTAACCCTCCCTGCCTGCTGGTGGTGGTTGATTCCTGTGCTCGGAAGCCTCACCTCCATTAGTGCGTCCCAGGGCAGCTGTGGCTACATTGTAGCTCATCACCACCAGCGTGTGAATGTGTGTGTGAATGTGTGTGTGAATGGATGTATGATACACTGTAGAGTCAAGTGCTTTGGAGTCTTCTTACTCTGAAAGCTACACAAGTTTGGGTCATTTATCATAATTTACTCTTTTACCGCATCCTCAAGGTCTACAGAAACCTGCTGGTTATTCAATCATTCAAATAAGGTAAAGCAGAGAAACAGCCAGAAAAGGGAGGTTGGTGGCCCCCAGGGGCCCGGATTTGATACCTTAAAGATTTTATAAGTAGCTTTGGAGCCAAATATTTAAATCCATAGCTTTTTTCTAATTTCAGAAATTTATGTTTTTAATTTATTCCTTTTCTCATGTATATTTTATGGGTTGGTTGGTTGGCTGGCTGGCATCGAGAATGGCTGGTTGGTTGGTTGGTGAGTTGGCTTGTTGCTTGGTTGGCTGGCTGGTTGGTTGGTAAGTTGGCTGAATTGTTGATTGATTGGCTGGTTGAGTGGCTGACTGGTTGGTTGGTTAGTTGGTTGATTGGCTGGCTGGCTTGTTGCTTGGTTGGCTGGCTGGTTGGTAAGTTGTTTGAATGGTTGACTGATTGGCTGGTTGGTTGGTTGGCTGGCCGGTTGGTTGGTTGGCTTGTTGCTTGGTTGGCTGGCTGGTAAGTTGATTGATTGATTGATTGATTGATTGATTGATTGATTGATTGATTGATTGGTTGGTTTGTTGGTTGGCTAGCTAGTTGGTTAGTAGGTTAGCTAGCTAGTTGGTTAGCTGGTTGGTTGCCTGGTTGGTGGGTGATCACTTTCTTTCCACCTTTCCACATTTTGGGCTGAATATGCTCCTTACTTGTTTCCTGCTGCCCTGTCCTGATTAATTACAGCCTCTGATACTTTTATGTTTTCAGTTGTATTTGATTGGTCATTTTGACAGTACTGCTTATATTTTTGCTATCTACACAAAGATTTTAACTTTTGTCAACACATTCTTATGCCTAGATGTGAACCTGCATTTCAGTCCTTCAAACAACAACCATTCTCGCTGCACCTTAAGTACAAATCATGCATGGTTTCATTCAAAATAAGCTAAAGTTGTTATTTATTGGAGAGTCTAAATAACCTGAAGTTGCTTTTATGCTGCAAAAATATAAGTCAACTGGGCTATTATTCAAACTGAAATGTTAAACTTTACTTCATTGAAATTTTGCATGAACTGATCTCACACCATGCTGCATCAGCTCGTGCTCATTACTAAATCAGATCAAGGATTGATGAAGCATATGTCAGTTATGAGTTTGGTTAAAGCAAACCTATAATCTTTCTGACCCTGAAACGGCTGTCCAGTTATATCAGACACTATATCAATACGGTATTAATGGCAAAAAACCACAGTGACCATGCAGACGATCACCTTCAAAGTGTCATTTCTTCAAACCATCCATCTGTCTCACATGTTTCAAAAAAGGCGTCAGCTGAGAAAGGAGACAAACAGAGTCTGAAACTTCAAAAACAACAACTGAAGGCACAAAAGTAAAGAATATTTATGCAAAACAACACTGACATTCAAAAATGAAGACGCCAATCTGATTTTTGCACAAATGTCCACAGTTCATTTACATGACATGTCATTATGCTGCACAAATGTATAAATTACAAATGATTTCAACCCAGTTAATGTGTGCAAAAAATATTTTTTTTTAATCTTTGGTAAAACTGTTTCCCACCTGAACAGTAAACATTTAGTTCATGCTGCACGCTGCAGTTTCAGAATACCAAAAAGCTGACAACAAAAAACACACAAAAAGGCTTTTTTCTTTTCAGTTTGAAAATGAATTGATCATTTTGAAATGTCTTAATCTAAATCTAAAGTGCTGCATGAGCATCATTAGATTGTGCATCTAAAGACAAAACAGCTGTGTGCTTCCAGTCATCGAGGTTTGATTAGCATAGAAAACAAATTCATTGCAATGTGCACACTACTAATATCATCTACAGTAAATCTGATTATAATTAACTGTAAGGTAAACAGATCAAAAACAAGAGATTGAAGTATCAGTCTCCCTTCATGTCATATTCTGATTCAACAGTAGATGGCAGCAAAATATAGCTAAACACTCCACAGCATCAGAGACTCTGGTGCCATCCATGAAAAAATTATGAGAACAATGAAAACTGTTTATAAAATCCACCAAATTTTGTCTGCAGAACTTGTCTTACTGCTTTGTGGAGACGGAAGTCTCTAAAAAATAAAGTGCATAAAGTTCTGGTGTCGTTAGTTCAGTCAGAATATCTGAGCCAGTTGCCTCAAAAGTCTCTAATCCACTGTATTAAATTTAAATTTAATAAATGTAATTTAATTTACTCGTTATAAACAAGGCACTGCAGGAAAAGAATGTTTAATTCATTATCTAATTAACTAGCTCAGTATAAAGCTTGCTGCATCGATTTGGATGTGTAACTTGCCAGTGTCTTCTCTTCAGTACATGTAACACGTTTTTTGTGTCACCATAAAAGACATCAAAAAAGGTGCTTGTGCACATTCACAAAAGGCAACATGATGCTACTGTGCCAGTGAGTGTGCGCCTCATCCACAGAACTAATAGTAAGATGGAGTAGCGCTTATTATCAACAACTAGAGGATTCTGATTTGCTCCTGCAGCCAAAGCAGCACAGGCTGCAGCAAGCTCGGCTCGTCAGGCACGGCCTCAGTGTACATCTGCAGGAGTACCTCTTGTAAAACAAACAATAGGGGTAAGCTCATGCTCAGTAGCTCATACAGCAGTGTGTAGTCATGTAAGTTGTTCCTCAGGTGGCTGGTGAGAGCCCGGGCTGCACCATGCACACGGCGGGAGAGGTACCGGGGGGCGTTGCACGCAGCACGAATCACATTCAGAGGCCAGCTCAGGCTTCTGCTTATAAACGAGGTGCAGGTACCTGCATCAGGTTCACTCTGCAGGTGTGCTGTATCGCTGGATGGGGGAGTCTTTTCATCTGCAGCTCGTCGTTCCAGAACTCGGTTACAGTTCTAACACAGGATGAAGTGGATGGAGACATTAGCTGTTTTAGTTCTTAGAGTGAAGAGAATAGAATGTACAGGGTACTCACAGCTGGTAGAGAAAAGGTCCTCTTTAGATTCGTCCCATTGTTGCGTTGATCAAAGTGGTGTTTGCAGTACAGCTTTCCTTAAAGGTTCACAAGAATGCCAGGATTCAGAACATCTCTAACTGAAGTCAAAGCTCATCTAAAGCTACAATTTGTAAGAATGACATCCTGTGGTCAAATGTGGTTACTGCACTACATTTTTTAAGCAAAAATAGTACTCTCTCACTCCCGTTCCGTGAGTTTCATGGCTGTTGCCAGTTATGGATCAGCACTAGAAAGTTCAAGATAACAAGTCTTATACAATAAGTTGAGAAGTAAATAAATACATTGTCATATCTGTTGCTAGCACTCTTGGGTGTTTTACGGTAGGGAGCACTTACTACACTTATTACGGTAGTTTGTCTCCAGCATTATAGGAAGTGTCTTGCTGTTAGCTTGTTGTTATACTTCTGACCAACTCATGAACGTAAAACGCCATGACTGACTCATTATTCACTTCACACAAACATTTTACTGTAATACTGAGTTAACTGAAAAAGTAACTTGAGATATTTTTAGAACTGACTATTTATTCATAATTCACAGTTAGCATTGTTAGCTCAGCATTAGCCTCTAACATGTGTCACTCGATATTAGAGTAAAAAAAAGAGGCTGTGGCTTCTTAGGCATACAAGAACTAACTTCTGGGTCGCTCCAGTTTACTGACATCCGTTCTTTAAGCAACTCTGGAGCTTTTTGACAAATTACAAATTCCAGCGCTGCAGCATTAGCTTGCTGCAGATTCTGCAACCTCCCAGACTGTAAACTGTAACTACATTCTGCTTTCGCTTTTTTAGAATTGAAAACTTCCCAGCTGGCTGAGAATGTTTCGAAGTAACATTGCTTCCAACGTGATTGAGACATTTGAAAGTTTTGTGATTATTTCACAGTAGAATTTTTACTAATTGCACCTTTAAAAGATCTTTAGGACAAGTACCTTCTTCAGAGTTAAACGCATGTGCTCCTTGTTGCAGAGCAGACCTGCAGGTTGAACAGCGGAAACACTCCCTGTGGAAGTAGAGCCCCTCGGCACAGATTCTCTCAACCATATAAACTCGCTTTCCACAGGAGTGACACTTTTCAGACATCTGAGAAAAGGTCCTCCGTATGGAACTGCCCTGGAAATCAGAAACACGATGAACTATTACAAACCCTCAGATAAGAACTGGGGAACACTCATTTGTTTTTGTACTCTATATTTAAACTGGTGTAGTTTGAGCTCCAACATGTGGTCGTTCAGTTGGAGCTGGCTGCTTGGGTGGAGCAGAGAACCCCACAAAATGTCACCACAAAAACACACACTTCTTCACTGTGAGGGCTGCTGGGAATTTAAAGCACCGCGAGCAGAAAAGGGAGTTACAGAAAGTTCTCCAACAAAGCTCAAAGCTTTAGAATCTGAATGAAGTTCATTTGTATTTAGAATTAATGGCAGTTTTAGTGATACTCATCAGCTGTGATCATAATAAAACAACAAACTGGGCAAAGGTGCTTATTTTTATTTTTGTTAGGATGTAGCTAAGAACACACACTCCTACTTAAAGTGAATACTGGTTATGACTAATGAAAAAAAACATCATGCTTGGACGAGTCACCTTGAGTACATCAGAACCGTCCTCGGAAAATAACCTCCTAATGTGAACGGCTTTCTCCTTTATGCTTTTTGTTTGAAACTCTCTAACTTGTTGTGTCTGAGCCTTTTTCTGTAGAACAATAGAAAAGAGATCCGTCTCATTTCCTTGTTTCAGAAGACAGATGGACTTCAAAAATACCTGTTTTATCTTATTAAAACTCCGACTGCACTGGAACACAAAGTGAAACACATCTCTGCTCTGAGGGAGAAATGAAGTCAAACGGCTAAAGTCTAATGTGGATGCACATTCAAGGGAATTTATTCAAAAATTTGCTTTGCAAGTTTTGTGATCTACTTTACTGATTACAAAATGAATGAAGACATGAACTAAAATCAATATTTGATTTATTTTCTGATAGCTATGAACATATCACAGTAACAAATAAAGTAACAACTCTGCAGTGCTCATAACAAGAAGCTAAAGAAAAAGCCATCATAAACTCTCTAAGCCAGGCATGTTCAAAGTGCGGCTCGGGGACCATTTGAGGCCACTGGAGTGATTTTGTGTGGCCCCTTATTGCATTTATAAAATGCTGAATTTTATCTCTCCAACATCTTCAAGTTAAAGGTGTGGAACACTGAAAAAAAATGTTGTGATTATTTCTGAATCTAATCGGTCACTCTGAGGTTTTCATGCAGGCTGGACAAAAAAAAAGTCGTTAAATGAAGGTGAACACACTGCCAACCTAAAGCTGTCACTTGGACCCATCTTGGCACACGTGGGGGAAGTCTGTTGTTTTAGCGTTCAGAATCAGCTTGCAAGGCATTCATTCCTATCAGAGACCACTGCAAATGTTTTGATTAACCCTCCCACTGTCCTAATGGGTGACCCCCCGATGAAAGTTGACCATTGAGCAGGATTGATGGTTTATCCCTTGAGGTGGCAGGGGTGAGGAGTGAGCACCACCTCACCCCTGCCACATGGACCCAAGGGATAAATCATCAATCCTGCTCAATGGTCAACTTTCCTCACAGGGTCACACCCATTAGGACAGTGGGAGGGTTTAACAAGTTTCCCACACCTTTAAGATGTTTACTAGTATGCCTATTTTGAGGAGTTTGCACAAATAAAATAAAACTATTTTTGTACCTTGTAACAGAAAAATCACATTTTTGTGGTCTTAAAGAGTTTAGACACCTCTAAAACCATCACTTCTTTGCTCTGGCAACAGCTGATGTGCGACCCACTGAAAATAGTTGCAAACATACTTTATCATCAAACAAAATTGATCAAAATAACAAATTAAATGTAACTTAGGGGCCTTTAGGAGGGGGTCAGAACATGCAGCAATGATTATAGCAGAGAAGAACACAAACAAAGCAGGAGAAACTTTTCACCTCCGATACGTGTTCATCCACCTCCTTGAGGCGATGGAGAACTCTTGTCATGAAACGGATAGCTGAGTGGCAGGATGGAGGAGGAGCAGGGGGGCCTGGACTCTCAGATGGAGGCTCAGGCTTCACCTCAGCACACGTCTGATTAGCATGTCTGAGTCTCACTACTGACAACTGGAGCTGGTGCCGAGGCTGGAACTGCAACTGGGGGTTCAGCAGGATCTTTGGAGGAATGTGGACTAACTGTTCAGCCGCTTTTTTGATACTGACCTCAAACTGAAAGGGATAATACACACAAGAGCTCTAATAACTTACTTATTAATGTTCTTTGTAACCTAATAACAACTGGATGACCTTTGTTGTCACGTCTTGAATTAATTAACTAACAAATCTTACACTGCTATGTGAACAGGAAAATCCTGATTTAAATCTCAAAATGGATTTGAGCTGAACATAGATAAAGATGTCACGATGTCTCCACCTCCAGACTACCTGAGACACTGACGGAGGTTTAGGTGGGACGGGAGGCCTGAGTTTCACAGGCGGACTCTCAGTGTGGATAAAAGCAGGGAGCAGCAGAGACGTCTCACAGTCTGACTGGGGGGTGCAGAAAATTGGAAGTTATGATGAAAAAGTACAGAAACAGAAAGAGGAACTGATTAAAAGGTAGCAGACAAGAAAATTGGGTAGAATTTTGTGACACGAAAACCACAAAAAACACTTCTGAACTGCAGCTTGCAGTGAGGAATTTATAACATCATCATGATCCACGACAAAAGATCAAATAGCTCTTTTAAAATAAAAATTAAAGGTGCCATTTGTAAGACTAACATCCTGTGGTCAAGTGTGGTTTCTGCAGTTTGTTTCTTTAAGCAGAAATAATACTCTCTCACTACCATTCTGTGAGTTTCATGGCTGTTGTTAAGGATCAGCAGAAGACTAGATGACAAGCAAAGACAAGTCAAACACAGTAAGTTGATAAATAGATAAATACATTCATATCTGAGTGTTAACACTCTGTGTTTTACGACAGGGAGCACTTACTACACTTATTATGGTAGTTTGTCTGCAGCATTAAAGCAAGTGTGGTTTGCTGTCTTGCTGTTAGCTTGCTAGTATACAGTAGTTCTGAATTACTCATTAAAGAAAGTGAAACACCACCAATGACTCATTATTAACTTCACACATAAATTTCACTGTAATATTGAGTTGTTGGTCATTTCAAAGTAGGTTGAGATATTTTTAGAGTCGACTATTTGCTTCTAATTCACCGTTAGCATTATTAGCTCAATGTGAGCCTCTAGCCTGCTTCACTCGATATTAAACAAAAGGATGCCTTGGCTCCTTAGGGGTACAATAAATAACTTCGGGGTCGCTCTTGTTTACTGGCTTCGGTTCTTTAAACAACTGTGGGGCTTTTTGTCAACTGGTGTCAAATTACAAATGCCGGTGCTGCTGCGTTAGCTAGCTGCAGCTTTGACAAACTCACAGAGTATAAACAGTAATCATGTCCCGCCTCAATTTTTTATTTTATTTTATTTTTTTAGAAAGAAGAAAAACTGGAAAACCCCCAGCCAGTTTGGAATGAAATCTGTTTCATTCTAACATTTCTTCCAATATAATTGAGCCATTAGACTGTTTTTTTTTATTGTTATTATTTCGCTGTAGAATTCTTACAAATTGCACCTTTAAAAAAGGATTAAAGATGCAAATATTTTGTTAAATAAATTGCAAGATTTATCATTTAGAGTATGAGTCCATTTCTTCATTTCTACCTGTGTTTTATGGATGGTGAAGTTGTTTTTACTCTCGAACTTGGCTAGAAGCTGAGTAGCCATTGAGCGAACTTTGTTTTCTTTGGGATCCCGCTCGTCTCGCTGTGTGGAGCCATTACTTGACAGATTGGTGGCCTGATGAGAATCAGAAATAACACCAATATAATAAAAATAAAGAACAAAACCAACAAATTACTGCACTGACATGTAAAACTCTATATTAACAAACCTCCTCTAGATAGAATTTCCGCCTCCTTTTGTAAATGGAGTCCACACTGCCTGACTTCTCTTCCTGACAACAGAAAGCAAGAATGTATTAATCAAGTACAATTAAATGCTTGTTAACATGAATTAAAACAAAAATATTTAAAGATGGAGGTACCTTTGGTACCCGTTTCCTCGCCAGTGCAAGACTGAACATGTTGTTAGTTCTGACTTCCTTTGAAGGACATTCATTATTTTCATCCACTTGTCTGGATTCTGCAGGAGAATAAAACAAAATAACTTCAATTACATCAAATTACAAATGAAGAGTTGCAGTGATTGTGAAGAAGAAAGATCTATAGTAAAAAGCACTTCTGTTGAGACAGGTATGCAGTCAGGAATCCATTGGGACATTCTTCTCATGTTGCTACACGACTAACAGAACAGAACGGCACACGCTGAAAAAGTCCCATCATCTCTTTAAACACAGATGATAAAAGAGAAAGAGAGAGAGAGAGAGAGAGAGAGAGAGAGAGAGAGAGAGAGAGAGAGAGAGAGAGAGAGAGAGAGAGAGAACACCAAGAGCAGGTGTGACGAAATGTTTCAATAATTGCTGTCTTACTACTTCCTGAAGGGCCTCTGTTCTGAGAAAAAGCTTTCTGGTCTGACAGCACCAACTGTCTTTAGATGTCTGTTGAAGACTTAGTTTTGTCCTTCTGGCTTTCATGCAAAGTGATAAATGTTCCTTTGTTGCCTGGTTTCTATTTGGCATTTATATGTTTTTAATTCATTAATTCTTATCATGCTCTGAAATTTACAGCACTCCGTTCATCCCGCTGGTTTGTGAGAAAGTGTTTTAGAAATAAAGATGATGAATTTCAACGTGATTCATGCAAATGTTATCTATAAACCATTACCTTCACATAAGGAGCCTAAGTCACTTCCGCATCATGGATCCCGGAAGAACGAAAAAATGAATGCAAGTCAATGGGGCTAAAAACGCTATTTTCTAATTCCGCTTGTTTTGTGCCAAGGATTTCACATATGATGTCCACAAATTTTAAATTCTATTCAGTTCAATTCAATTCAATAATACTTTATTAATCCCAGAGGGAAATTAGAGTTTCAGTACACACAATTCTGAGATCAGACATACATACATCGGCATAGACACATGACGAGAATTGGTGACTGTGGTCATTCGCAACCCGAGTTGCGCTACCTTAACAGAGATCAGAGGGGTTTACATGAGGATTGGGTCAGGTGGAGGGAAAAAAGGCACTCCAGAGTTACCCTCCACAGGGAGGGCAGCTTTGCTATGCAAAAAACACAGACAGAAATGCGACAGACTTCAGACATTACACAACATAAGTGTCCACTAGGTGGGGAGGTAGGGTTGGGACTCTCTAAACATCAGTGCATGCAGCCACGATAAGCAGCGCTCGTCACCTCCGTTTGGACAGGGGAGGGAGGTCGTTGGGTTTAGAGAGCACAGTGACTCCTGGAACGATTCAACGGCCCCTCCTGCCCAGGCTGGGATAGGGAGACAGAGTTGCCATGGCGACAGCAGCATTCCACATTTCTTCTGAGGGGGAGTTATCGCTTCAGCCTCACAGGCTCAAGGGTACCAGATTCAGATAAGAACTTGTTTTGGGGCCAGACAGAGATCATTTCCTCTCTGTCTTAAAGTTCCGTTCGTCCTCAACCCCTCTCAATCCAATAATGGCGTAGTTAATCAATCCCAATCCGTGCTGACCCGTCAACTCTATCCTTGATCAAATCCACCTTCTGTGCCAGAGCCTGAATCTCAGCCAAAGTTCCAAGCTTACGATTCATCTCGACAATTATATGAGTTTGTGCGTTCACAGCGCGGTGCAATCCATCCCTGAGCTCCGGGATTGAGCCAATATTCCTCGAAAGCTCATTAATTTTCCGGTAAGCCAGGTAACCACTCAGGCCAAAAAGCAGGAAACCTGACACCAACACAACGAATATCCAGACGTCTTCAGAATCCTCTACAGACAGTTGAGAGAGGCAGATCAGGTACCACTGTTTCCAGGAGTCCATGATATGCCCAACTGGCTCTGTCCCAGAGGAGCAACCGGGAGCCCCTTCTCCCGTTCTCATCGTTGAAAAAATCTTGTCAGTCGCGTTGAGAGATCAACTGACTAGGTCCATTTTTAATAACTTCCAGTTTACAGGAAAAATGCAGAAGCGCCGTACACCCAAAGACAGACAAAGAGCCTTGGGATGAGATAGGGATTTTGATACCAAGAACGCGCTTATTTTCGAACGGGGGAACGATATTTTAGGTTTTGTGTGAAAATAAGTCCCGGACTACAAATGCACTTCACGGAAGTGATGTCATCGAACCAGACACGGAGAAAACTCAGAGAAAATGGCTGTAAGTTCAGCAAAGTTCCCACAGGAGGAAAGAACCGCCATGAATCTGGTCATGTGGTAAGTAGCAGCTACTTTGGGGAGAGGAGATTCTGTGGTGACGTCACATATGCGACGTGCCAATTTCTAGTTTGTAGTCATGCTAATTACAAACTTTTACAAGCTAATAAATCTTAAAGTATGTGACTGGCATGGTCAAAACACCCATCATTACTTTTCATTTAAATTGCAGTGCGATCCAAAATAGCGTTATTAGCCCCGTTGACTTGCATTCATTTTTCCGTTCTTCTGGGGACCCATGATGCGGAAGTGACTTGAGCTCCCTATTGCATGGTTATTTTAGCAGAAAATCTTTTTTAATCCCAACCAGGCATGACCTGTGGATGCACCAGAAGTGATGATTTTTATTATCACTGGTGATATTTACATTCATAAATGTGTGATGTGATGCAAAGTTGACGGTGATATAATGTATCATAGTGGCATCCCATAGTGCATCATGCCAAAAGATTTACAACCACTAATTTACAGATGTCAATCACAGAGTGTGCATGAGCATTTGCAAACATATCTAAACTGATGCAGTGTTGGAATTTCTTATGGACAAGTTTCTAAAAAAATATATAAATGAATAAACAGCACAACATGAGAATTATACATGTAAAACTGTGTTTTAGCGTAACGTGAAGCATTGCTTCAAGCCATAATCGTGGGAGTAAGGAGAGGGGCTAAAACTGTAATACACGTTTCCACCTCAAGATGGAGGCCTCTGAGAAAAAAACTCCAGATTTCCACTTTGAGTGAATCAACTTTTGGCTGTAGTCAAGCTAGCTGTTGGCTGTTTCTCCTATACAACAGGTTTGATAGCAAATATTTATAATTAACTCAGAAAAATACTGTAAAACGGCTGAAATTTCCATTTAAATTATGTTTCTCAAGCATAACGACGTACCCGATACAGGTAGAGGTGTTCCACGGAAGAGCTCGTAGAACTTGGACAGGTAGGCACTCATCCTGGTTTTATCCAGCTCCTCGCCAGCACTCAGCTCCTTCACGGACATGAACGGTCGAATCCCAAAATCATGTTCGCTGACGTCAAAAGCCAGCTGGAGGTTGGTAGTGTGGTCACCTTCATTTAACGAGTCAAAATCTCTGATGAAGGCAGGTGAGAACAGAGAACAGAGCTTCAGTAGGTGGTACCACACATTAATGTGTTTTAGTATGGCTTTCAGAGACAGCTGTATTCTTTCTTCACATAGCTCATTTTTACCTATGACCCAAATATCTTTTCAGCATCACAGGAATGTGACAGTAAGGCCTTTTGTGAAGAAATAGTTTTCCGACAAATCCTTTCACGCGCTTATTTTTTCATGTCAGGTGGCTGGCAGACAGTGAGGTCGAGATAATGTTACACAATTAGTTTGAACAGTCAAGCGCAAAAAAAAGTGTTTTACTCAAAACTTCCAATGCTGACTTTGGTTCTTCTGGGATGTTTCTACCTGCCCTGATGGAGCGCAGACACCATGAGGACTGATGTTGAGTGGAGAGCAGTAACCTAGCAGCAGCACACAAATACTGCTGTTATTCACAAGTGTTGCTGCTGAGTTTTCTCTTTTCTCTGTGAACCTGTTCCCCGTCTTTTGAGCTGACAGGTCAACATATGGAAGAATGAAAAACGGTTCCTAGAAACTTACAGGAGCGCTGGAAATTGCAGTGACTTGTGCCAAAGCGTGAAGGCAATAATTAAAGGATGAGGGGATATAATTACATCTTTAAATGTTCAAATCTATGGTCACACTGTCTGTAAACCAGGTTTTTCCCTTAACCCTCTGGAGGCAGGCTTTGCAGATTTGCAACAGTTAAAACCTACCTACCTGGTTACTCCACGTGTATTTCATGAGCATTTATTAACTCAGAAGTGCCTCTGAAGGACTTTGTTGTTCGTCCTTTTATCAAAACTTCTTTTGAACCTGAGAGGGTTAATGTAAGGGTTGTAGGATTGATTCTGGCTCCTGGCAGAGAATGCTGCTGTTGTGTCTTTGGGCAAGACACTTCACCCACATTGCCTCCTGGTGGTCGGAGGGACCAGTGATGCCTGCACTCAGCAGCCTCGCCTCAGTTAGTGCACCCCAGGCGACTGTGGCTACACTTCATCATCACCAGGGTATGAATGTGTGTGAATAGGTGAATGACTGATTGAGTTGTAAAGCGCATTGGGCGGTTCTAGGACTCTAGAAGGCGCTATATCAACTACTGGCCATTTACCATTTTCACCAGCTGTCTATCATTTAACTCATTCAGTGCCTTTGACGAGTAAAGTCGTCATTTTAAAGCCAACCGTTCACTGCCAATGACGACTAAAGTTGTCGTTTACATTTTTTTTTACTGTGTGGGCATCGGAACAAGCCCCCGCACCGTGAGAACAAACATCCCAGCTCTAAAGCTGATCTTCATCCACATACGTCACACGTCACATGACCAGGAAGCAGAAAATCCATGTGTTAGGAGATCGTTTTGGGCCGTTGCTGTAAAAAGGGTGAGGCGCAAACCTGAAAAGTTTCTGTCGATCACAATTCAACAATGCATTATAAAAGAACGGATAATGCTCGAAACGTGCTGATTCTTCCTGATGTAAGGGGTGAGTCTCCTCTTTGTTTTGTTAGTTTGGGCGTCGACGTTCTGTGACTCTTAGAAAAACAGTAAAAAAAAAAGGTGAGAAACGCTGGCAGCGAAGGGCTTTGCTGATCATGAAACGGCTGGCAGTGAATGAGTTAACAGTAAATTTCACCCAACAAAATGGAAAAGTGCCCCAAAGCTGCAGCTAAACAGCCAACCACATTTGGTTGCTAGGAAGAACTGGAGAATTTTTGGCCATTTGGTATCACTGAATTTATTGCCTCTGGAACGTTGGCTGATTTGTGCCCCTGCTACCGGAAAAAGCTAGCTAGCATGCTAGAAGGTGCTTTTAACCCCTCTCTCTCTCTCTCTCTCTCTCTCTCACTCCCTCATTCACTCACACTCTCTGTTGGTTAATAGACAGAGTTGAAATTTTAAAATTGGTTTATTTTTTCTTATTTTATATGATTATAATGTTTTGAACAGGATATCAAGTTAAGATTCTGTGTTGTATTGGTGCCACCTACTGGTTGGATTGTCCTTTGAGGTTTGCACAGATAATTAATTGAGGCACAAAGGCAGCTCAAAAAAGCAAGTTTTTTTAAGAAAGAGAGCTGTGTGAATGCAATAAATGTTCTAATACATAAGAAATGTTAATAAAACCAATTTAAATGGATAAGGAGCAGCTCTAAAGGCTGGTTTTAAAATGATCTAAGGAGTGTTACGTACATTAGCTGTGGTTTAAACCTGTGGATAAGAGCGCACAGAGCCATGCCACTCCTCCAGGAGGAAGTCAGGTCTGTGATGGACACATTCCTGTATCCTTCAGTCTGTTTCTGGCACCAGGTGAGAAGCCTGGATGGTCGGATCTCAGATTCTAAAATTAAAAAGAAGAAAGGAAGATTTTCAGAAAAACTGTCAAATTTCTTAAATTACCGCCAAAGAAGCACAGCAAGAGAAACAAGACCCACCATTCAGATTTGAAAAAACTATTCATGACCATTAATAAGGTGGACATTTGTTCTGAAGTTGTCCATGTTTGGACTCGTTTGCTGCTTTTGGTGAAAAACTAACGTTCCATTAGTCAGGAATACAGCTCGTCTTAAGAGGATGAACATACACTGATGGAGAACACATATTTCCAAACCTACAGTTGATGTGTAAAAACTTATAACTGTTTCATACATTTTTTAAAAATGCATCTTTTTACTATTCACTTCAACATCAAGTTTGGAAATGACATACATTTTTTATCTGTTTTTGCAAACTCAGTTTTTCTCGACTGCACTTGCCTCTCCTGGAGAGGTTGACGGGTCGTCGTATGGTAGCAGCACGCTCCAGAGAGCAGCACTTCAGCTCTTCGGTGATGTACAGGTGACGCACCTGAAACAGGAAGGACAAATACATACAAATACACTCCAGCTGTTTGTGAGGTTGTGTATCTTTGAGTCTGAGCTCACCTGGTGAGGCCTGACGCAGGAGGAGTTGAGGTTTGGGTATCGAGTTGCGGGGTCGATGGTATACTGATCGAAGTTCTTAGCAATGTTTTCAGGGGTTGTTTGTGGTAGCAGTCGGTAAATACTCTCCCTAAAAGAACATACACGGTAACTGTTGATGCACTTACCCGTTATTCGAGCTGTAGTAAAGACTCAGTGTTTTATTTTCCAACAGAATGCATGTGTACCTCTCTGAGAGCACCTCCAGGACCGTCCGACCTTCGGCCCAGCTCTTTACCATCCACGCCGTGTCAAAAGCAGCCAGGAAACCTCGGGCACAGCCTGTTCCCATCGGCCAGAATGGCTGCATGGAAGCAAATGTATGCAAATGTTAATTGCATGTCGGTGTCTGAGATTAAATTTGTTTATTTGATCAGTCTCCCTCACCTCTAGAAGACTGTCTCCAACCAGTGCCACCAGCAGCTGGTGTCCAAACCTCTCCCTGGCCAGAGCGGCGTTCTCTGATGCGTACATGCATGTGAAGTCAAACATCGCCACATCCGGCTGCCCGCAGTGGTTCATGGCAAAATCCAGAGTGGGAAGCTGGTAGTTGGTGCCAAAGTCAGCAGCCTCTCGGGCGTAGCTCAGAAGAGCCTCCTGGTTGACGTTCTCGCTGCTCAGCAGCATCTGGGTGTCGACGTAATCCTGATTAACCAGAAGCAGGCAGAATCATGTAAGTGTTCCGCTTTTTAAACATCAAATCCTCTCTGTTGATCTGATGAGTCAGTTGGGAGCTGTTAGTCTCTCTAACCAACAGATATTCCTCTTTATAATCTGTCTGATTCAGACATCCTCTGATCTCGCCGGGAGCAGACACGGTGACTTCACCTCATCCTGTCTGTAGTTGGGATTTGGACCAGCAGAGCTGGGTCCACAGCAGCTACACAAACAGTGGCACAAATCTGAACTTATAACTGTTTCCCAAAACCAAAATGCAGCAACAGAATCACATTATTGAACAAAATCTAAAATTACATTAATTTGTCTTCATATTCTTTGCAATAAAAAATTCAGAATCACAACCCCCTGGAGGTGAAACTGCAGTTTTCTTACATTAATGACAACCCCCTTGTCCAGCAGACTCTGCTTCTTTGCCGTCATGACAAAGTAATGTGTGTTGTCCCTGTAGTAAACAATGTTCTCCAGATCAATACCTGCAGGAGAGGAAGATGTTTCATTATTGAGACGATTCACGAAACAGCAGAAAATGATTTCTGTGCTAGTGATTATTATGTCATAGATTTACAGAATAATGTGATGTTCATTTTAAAGATATATTTTATTCAGCCCTTTTTAGTTAAAGAGGTCCTTCCCTGAGAAACCATTTTTTACTTTACAAATCCTGCTGTCTAAAGCTACTTTGTCCTCCAGGCTGAATTCTCCATGCTGAAACACACACTGGAGCTTTTTTCCCAGAGCACGACTTATTCTCACTCTTACTCTTACTCTTACTGGCGGCGCGTGCACACGCAGCGGCTTCTCTCTCTCTCCCGTACTTTAGCCAGAGTTTGAGAGTAACGTAATTTCATTTCTCTGTATGTCTTGTACATGTGGTAGAATTGACAATAAAACTGACTTTGACTTTGACTAGAGACCACTGCAAATGTATTAAAATATGAGTGAGTGACCTCTTTAAAGGTATTGGCCATACTTAGCATTACAATTGTAAAAATGCAGTATAACTACACTTTACCAACTACATAAATATGAAGTGGAATCAGTTTTTTTATTTTTTAAGGAATTTTGTCATAAATCGTGTAGCCTAATGGTTTACAGAAAATCAAAATCCTCTCCTCCAGACAGTGAAGAACTGTGTTTCGCATACGTCACTCCAACACGTAAAACAAGGTAGCTGCTGTTGCTAGTATTGTGAATAGCTGTATTGTGTTTACTTTCGTGCTCTTAATTATTACGTGAAATTGCGTTTACAGCTGCAGCAAAAGGTATGAGTCAAATGTCTGTGTCCTACACACATTTTTAAATGACATAGGTCTGATCTAAAATAGTAACCTACATCTATAAATCCATCTAGAACCGCACCTATAATTCTGGACTCCAGGCGAGTCCCGTTACCATGACTGCAGCAACACTGCTAACCGTGTTAGCTCTGGTAAGGAAAAAACAAGTCATTTGGGAAAGCTACAACACACACACACCCACACATATAATCTAAAAGATGATCCCCATATTTCAACAATAGATCCTCCTGGACCGGTATCCTCCATCCCATGGATTAGTGCAAACAACAAGCTGAGCTAGCGAGTTACTCCAGCATCAGGAAGATTTATGCAGGTGAGCTATCGGTTAAATATTTTTCGGAGTTATATCAATACGGTATATACACACAGCGGTAAAACTGCCAGCACATTATTTTATTGATCTGTAGATTATTGAATTATATTTAGGACACATGATGAAGGTGAGACCAGCTGAGAACTCATCAGCGTAGAGCTCCCAGTGGAAGCGCTACAAGCACATAAATTAAATATTTATCAAAAGTTTAAAAACCTGTACTGATTTTGGTTCTGAAGACAAACAGAATCCTCCCTGGTGTCCAAATCGGGTCTGATCACCTGTGTTTTTACCGGAGTTGGGGATTGTTTTCAATAGCTGTTTCTGCAGATCTCCTTGTGAAACATCACATCTGCCCAGGGCTTAGACCGGAAGCTAGTTTCCGTCTTTTTCACACAAGTCAAAAACGTCAGATTTTCTTTCAATTCCAGCCGTGAAAATCCAAAAACCTTTTTCATCTGAGGTTTTAATACTTCTTTACACATGTCATTCAAAGGAATTTTGCCTCTGGCCAATATCTTTAAAGCTGTCTGAAATCTAGAAATCTGTCTGATAAGGAAACTGAAGATATTAGTAATGCATAAAAACCATAGTAAGGCATCTAATAAATATTAAAATATATAAATAACCTTTTATAACTAAATGTTCCACGTCAGAATAAGTGCGCCTTGGTCCTGCCCACCTGTCTCCTCTTTGAGGTTGAGAAAGAACTTCTGGTTGAAGATGAAGGCCACGCCGCTGATCTCCTCCACTTTGGCCTCAGCGGTGGTGTTCCTGTTGATGAAGTTGGCCGTGATGGCGATCGCCAGTTTGCCTCTAAACTCTTTTCTTTTGAAACCTGGTGAAAAGACGCAGAGAAAATAGGCCTGTTCAAAAATAGTAAATCTGACCTCAAATCATAATTACAACACTCTTACTGAAGAATAAAGAGAAGTAGAATTAGGAACTGAAATACCAAAAGCAGCAAAGAGACACGTGCAAAAGCCTTGTCATCCTTTTGCTGTGTAGGTTTTCAAAAACGTCTAAAAAATGTCAATGATTCTGAAGATGTGAGAGCTTGAAGGACACAAATGAAATGTGCAGAATGAGACTTTCCTAAATACAGCAACACTAAACAGATCTTAACTGCTTTAACCACAACTTGGCCACAAATGCAGCACACGAGCTGGCGGACGGCAGCAGAAAATCTTTTCCCCCTGGGATTTTTCATAATTGCAGAATGAGCTAAACATGTAGTTTCTGCACCAAATGTCCTTTTAAGGAATAAGCATTTGATCTGAATGTTGTTGGATGACAACATTTTTAAAAGAAAGCCTGAAACCATTACAAGGTTGAGCTGCTCCTTCGGGAGTGGATCAGCTGCTGCACTCGGGTCCAGCCATTTTCTATTTGTGTTTTCATTAAAAAAAAAAAAGCCACTTGAATCACAGATCATCAAGTTCAGAGTCATCAACTGGATGCAACTCGTGCTTTTCTTTATCTGAGCTCCCTGCACTGTGCTGAACGATCTGGGAGTGGCAGCAGACTCCGATCTTTCGTCAACAAGCTGGTTTCAGGTATGAAAACAAGTACAGAACATTCCTGAGGTATCCCATACTGTTTTGTTTCCCGTCCTCTCACCTTCCAATGTATTCCTCCGCCCATCAGCCCCCACCACCACGTCAAAGTCAAAGTTAGCCACCGGGTGATCAGCAGGTCGGATTGCAGCCCTCCACCCAATCCCTGGAAAACAGAAGGCAACTGAGAAAGGTGGAAAAAGAGCCGTGAAACATGACTTAATCTTCTTTACCTTTTTGTCACACCTAAACCGATCAGTCGATCAGCAAACAAATTTTAATATTAGCCAAAAGTTTGCAGTCTAAATAAAACGTAATAACTGTTTTAACACATTTAGCAGCTGCTGATAAATGGTAAAGAGTCTCACATTGCTGTGAATGACGTTTTCTCAATTTTTCCTAGCGGAATTGTTTTAATCAGTCACATTGGAGGCTTTTCCAGCATGAACAGCCTGTTTAAGGTCAAAGGTCAGCATTCACCAATTTCTGGTCAATTACAGCACGTCATCCAGGCCCTGTAGCAGCTTACCAGCCCCAGACCATCACACTGCCACCTCCATGTCTGACCGTTGGTGTGATGTTTTGATCTGAAAGTAGTTTTAGATTTACTCCAGATGGAACGAGACGCACACCTGAGTCATTCTACTCTGTCTTCTCGGTCTATAAATTCCTCTGAAGCTTTGGAGATCATCAAGAAGTTTTTGGGTGAATGTTGGACAAGATTTTGTGCCTCTTTTTAGTCTGCAAACATTTGGACTTTGGAACTCTACCACTTTTTGTTTCTTCCTCTTTCTTGTTGTTGAATCATGACCTCTGACCTCAAAGGTGTGGAACACTGAAAAATCTTTTTTTATTATTATTATTTCTGATTATAATCAGTCACCCTAAGTTTAAAATGAAAGCTGAACGTGAAAATATTCTCCTACACCTATCTCCCACGTCAGATTTTGGTAGAAAATAGACGATGAAACTCTGCGTCACGTAACATTGATGGACTCACCCATCATGACTCGCAATGGGGAAGGCTGTTGTTGGTTTAGCATCCAGGAAACAGCAGAGAACATCTCGACTGGTAGATGCTAATCGTTAGCATTAGTAACTCCACCACACGGCTGAACTCCTTCAGGCTTTTGTTATTTGTGGAGATAAAACATCTACGTTGCAGAGCAAATGGAGTCAGTGGTGGAGTCATGTTGCTGTTAGCCAATCTGAGGTAAGATGTCCAAATATCAGGAAATAAGACCCCAAAACCTGCTGTTTGAAGCTACTTCCAGCTAAATTCTCCATGCTGATTCAGGTGATTTTGGTGCTTTTATCGCAGAGTACGACTTTCCTACTAGAGACCACTGAAAATGTATTGATTAAATGAGTGATCCACACCTTTACATGACAGTGTGATGTGGACCTGTCAGGGTTTTGAAACAACTTTAACCTTAACCAAATGAGGCCGGCAGTGCTTTAGGTGTTGTTCTGGGGTTTTTTTGTACTTGGAACATCTTTAAAGGCTAGCATGATATGTTGCTTTTTGAGCTCCTTTTAAAAGTGTAACACTGGCCCTTTTAAGAAGGCAGTAGAGGTATTTGTTGTGTATGTTTGTTGTGTGACATCATCACATGGAAAAACATGCTTCCATGAAGTCCCAGCTTCCAACTGTGCCACAGCAGAACCGTAGGGATAAGTTTGGGTCTAAATTTAGGTGAGGCTTGTGTTGTTATCGGTGTCAGCATTGAAACCACTTCTCCCAGTGAGCTCAAGGCCAGCGCTGGACGACGCTTGAACGTAATCAAAGCTGAACCGAGGCAGTAAACCTCATCTTGTTTTAAAACAAACAGACCCTGTGTTTAATCATTTGTCCGATGATAAGTGGGAGTTTTCTGCTGGTGGTGCGTATTGGATCAAGATCACTTACAGGAAAGTGACACTAAATACGTGACCTTTTCCAGGCTCATCTGCATAGGATGAAAACAAGATCCAAGCCAACGTTTGTCCCGTGTTTATCAGTGACTGTCATGGTAATTAAATACTGCAAGAGGAGATATTCTCTGCAGCCAGGAGCAGCAGAGTGGGAAGTTTTAAAAAACTCCTCCAGGGAAACTACATTTTCATGCAAAAAGCCAGTTTTTCATGTGAAAATAATACAATTTGTGTGTATGTGTGTGATTTAAATTCATGCAGAGTGAAGGTGTGAATTAATACCTTCCTTTTCCTGATTCTCTAGCGGTTCCAGCAGCTTGATGAACTCCACATTAATGTGAAACTCCACTGCAACAATCAGGGCGACCTTCAGGAGGATCAGCTGCAGCTGCTGAATGCCTTTAGAGACACACACACAGCTTTAAATCCCTGACAAACCTGTGCTTTATGCTGTGTAACCTAGACTTTATTGAGCATGACTCCTGGTAGGTGATGGTGATGATCACATAGTTACTCACTGATGTGGTCTATGGCTCCAGCGCAAAATTTTCCATAGAACTTTTTGGCGCCGAGGCCCCGCAGGTCATGAATGGTGTAAGGCCAAAGATGGAGGACATTGTTCCTGGAAAAAGAGTCCCTCTTCTCGATGACCACCACTTTAGCACCCATCAAGGTGAGCTCGATGGCTGTCCGCAAGCCGCACGGACCTCCTCCGATGATGAGGCACTAAATCAGAAATAAACTGATGTTCTAACCAGCACCAGACTCAGAGAAACAACACATCATGGTGACATCTTTGTCTTATTAACGACAGATTTAGCATCTCCACGAGACTTCACTCTTCTGAACATTTAGAGCGAGTGTCTCATTCAGAAACTCTTCAGGAGAGAGACCCGGACAAACAGTCCCTGTCCAAAGATGATTCTTTATGAGGTCTGTACGTGTGAGTTGATAATAAAAACATTACAAGCCAGGAAATGACGTTTCAAATGCCTGAAGTGGTGCATTCGTTACTAAAGTGCCCTGAGGGACCAGTGATAACAACCTTTGCATATTTCAGGTGTGATTCACACACAAGCGTAACCAGGAAAATGCTCCAAGTCACTTCTGTGAAGTTACAACGTGTGTGTCTGAGTATCTGTGGCTAAAACATGATGTCAGAGTTAAATGATAGATGAAAGAGCTGATGCATGCTCGCTGACATTTTCTCCCCAAAGGTTATTAAATGAGGCTTTCCAGAGACAACTACAGATCAGAAACCTAAACACGTTCTGGGTCCTGTCAGAACCGAACAATTACTTTATTTCATTTTCATTTGAAAGACTTGCTGTTCCAAAACAAACAGGAAACACACAAAAGGCTCCCTTTCTGCCGTTGAACAACAACAGGAATGGAGAAAATGATAAAGATGTCCCATGTGTATCTGTTAGAGAACAACAGTTCTCACACAACGGATCTGGGAAAGTGCAAAACAATATATTTTTTAAATACAGCTTAATAAGATTCTATGAAAACATTTCTCTGCTGTTATTTGTGGATTTTTAAAGCAATTTCTAAATGCTGTAACATTTTTTGTCTTTTGTCTTCCTAAATGTGTTTATTTAACATTTTGTTGTCATTTCTTGTGTTTTTGTTTATCTCTTTTGCACATTTCCAAAAGCTGTTGCATTTTCTGCTATATCATCTTTTGATTTCAAAAGACTTGCTGTGTTTCATATAACTATTGCAACTGGACCTGTGAGCCACCGTACAATAAAGTACTACTGCATTAACACCCCCCCCCCCCCCCCCCCCCCTTCCAAACACATACACACACACACACATACAGAGGAAGAAGAGGGATTTTTCACATAATGTCTTAAACATCACGAAGTGCTTCACAAGAACAATATATTTATCCATCCATCCATTTTCATCCGCTTATCCAGAGTCGGGTCGCGGGGGCAGTAGCCTAAGGCGAGAGGCCCAGACTTCCCTCTCCCCAGCCACTTGGGCCAGCTCCTCCGGGGAAATCCCAAGGCGTTCCCTGGCCAGGTGAGAAACATAGTCCCTCCACCGTGTCCTGGGTCTACCTTTAGGTCTCCTCCCGGTTGGACGTGCCCGGAAAACCTCACCAGGGAGGCATCCTGACCAGATGCCCGAGCCACCTCAATTGGCTCCTCTCGATGTGGAGGAACTACACTGAGCCCCTCCCGAATGACCGAGCTTCTCACCCTATCTCTAAGGGAGAGCCCAGCCACTCTTTGGAGAAAACTCATTTCGGCCGCTTGTATCCGCGATCTCGTTCTTTCGGTCACTACCCAAAGCTCATGACCATTGGTGAGGGTAGGAACGTAGATCGACCGGTAAACCGAGAGCATCGCCTTCTGACTCAGCTCTCTCTTCACCACGACAGACCGGTACAACGCCCGCATCACTGCAGATGCAGCACCAATCCACCTATCGATCTCATGCTCCAGTTTTCCCTCACTCATGAACAAGACTCCGAGATACTTAAACTCCTCCACTTGGGGCAGGACCTCATCTCTGACCCGGGGAAGGCATTCTATCCTTTTCTGAATCAAGACCGTGGTCTCAGATTTAGAGGAGCTGATTCTCATCCCAGCTGCTTCACACTCGGCTGCAAACCGCTCCAGTGAAAGCTGAAGATCACGTTCTGATGAAGCCAACAGGACCACATCATCTGCAAAAAGCAGAGACCTGATCCTCAGGCCACCAAAACGGATGCGCCTAGAAATCCTGTGCATAAAAGTTATGAACAGAATCGTTTAATATATATAAATTCTTCTGTTAAAATAAATTATTTCAGTAAATTCTGATGCTGTTTCAAAAACAGACTATTGTTCTCTAAACGTGTGTCACTGTTGTGATTCCTCTATCAGCTTCCAGCAGACAAGTTTGTTTTAACGTTTTCCACTCGCTGATATGGGGGGAGCAGATGACCGCTTTTTTTTATTTCCTGACAGCTTGTGTCACATCTGCTGAGTCAGGAAACAGGTTTCCTTTCACTTTTCCACCTGTGACCCCTGACCTACCCTTGTAAAAATGCAAGTTTTTCACATACGCTGAATAATTCAAGTAACATGTTCAAAGTAAGAAGTATTTGGCTAATTGGGTATCATAGTAAATCAGAACAGAAGAAGATGATTTCCCCTGACTAAACATAAAAACAAAAGAAATAACATTTGTTAAATAAAATAATCTAAGCTGTCATTCCATCTCACATTTAACATCTATTATTTCAGTTGTATTTAGTCACACAATGTCATAATCCGCTTCATCTCAGTGATTGTTGAGTTGAAAATTTGACCAGTTTCATATTTGATACCACTTTGCATCCCTCTACTGACCAGAAACCACACTTGATAGTTTTGTGGAGCTAGTAGATGTCCTATAGGAGGCGCTCCTTGCCTGCGTTGTGGCTGTTAGTTGTTATGCTAACAGTTAGCATTTTCAGTTTGCCAATCGTCAATAGAAAGCACAAGGCAAAGTTTACTCTTTATGTTGGCATCATGGTGGAGCCGGGAAGTAAAAGTAAGAGAGTAATGTCTTTGGGGGCAAAGCAAAGAGCTAAAACCAGAGTGAACATCAGTGCAGCTTACGCTAGTTTCAGGGAGCTAAAGGAGGCTACAAAATCAAGAACTGATGGTGACCTGGCTTTGTTGCTACTGGACTAATAACATTTTTTGTCTAAGAGTGTGGATCTTTTTACTTCATTGTTTATTTGAATATTAGTTGGCTCATGTTAGTGTTAGCTTGTTGTTAGCGCTAGCTACAGCAGGGTTGTTTACGACAGCTGTAATTCTACTTTCAACCAGTAGGGTGGAGGAGCAGGAAACTGCTCTGTACTTTAAAGGAACAAAACTATCCTGGCTAAAACTAAACCGTTTTCAGAGATCTGATGACGAACGCTGGATGGTGACTTGTATAAAAAAACTGATTTAGTTGTAAAACTTTATGAGACACATGCCTTTTTCTCTGCTGCCAGCTGTGTCGGGCCGTAAAACGCATGACATCACATCCTTTTCACTAAAGCAGCAAAATGAAGAAGGGGTGATGAGTGATATCACATCTGTCACTGAGGGAGAACAGAGCTGCATTTGTTGTTTTTGGATTTCTTTAAGGAGCTACAACTAAATTATTCATCCAGTTAGATAATGTAAACACAGATGTCCTTCCCTGTAGAAATAAAAACAATGTGTGCATATAATCAGTTCATAAAGTCTAATTTAAATTTTTTTTTAATCTTTCTGCTTTAACAAAAACGTACAGTTTACTGTCTGTAAATCCTTTGTGTAGTCAGAATTTTTAAATGCATAAGCCTGCGACTACCTTTTCAAGTTTTGGTTCAAATTAGATGCAATCCAAAAAGCCTGGACTCACTTTTAAAACGGGTTTTAGTAATAATAACCTGGGAATGCATCCAGATTTTCTGCAACAGCAGAGTAAATGAGGAGCCAAGTAATCAGAGTCGATGAGTGATGAAATGTGTTTCTGTGTGCTGAAACAACGCCCCCCTGTAGCTGGATGCAGCTGACAGGTGAACGCTCCCTCATCACCTTTAGTTTTCTTCTGTGTGTGCAACGGTATGTAAATGAACTCATGTTCGTGTGATAGAGAGACACCTAAACCAAAACGTTTGAACTTATTAATTATTTTCAGCCTTTATGCGGTTTTTTTGCACAGGTGCAGACAGACAGGAAGGTGGAGTGCCCCGCCCAACTTCTAACCCAAATGTTGGATTCCCGAGCAATAACAGGATGACACTAATCTACGATAGTGTGCGTACGCTGAATGAAAGCTAAAAGAAACATTACAGATTTTAAAACAACAAATTTTTCATGATGTTTCCAAAAGGATGGAGGACGAACCCAAATGCAGAATAAATACTTGAACAAACACAAACCCAGAGACAATAGAAAACAAAGCACTTGTGTCTAAAGTGACTAAAGTCAGTGCAGGTGAGTTGACTGGAAACTGAGACTCAAAACCAGGAAGTAAACCCATCCGAAAGCACAACTGGTCACTTTTCATAAGGGAAACAGGGCTTAACCCAAGAATCACAATTAAAGGTTGACAAATGTCAATACATTTAGCTTTTCAGAGTATATGGAGCTTGTCTTCATTTCTGTTTGAAATTTATTCCTGCCTCAACATTTCAGGGGAATATATTTATAAAGACGTGGCAAGAAAACATAAAGAACCTACAGTGCCTGCAGCTTGCAGACACTAGGGGTGTACATCGCTCGTTTGACCGTAATACGATATGTCGATACAGTAGATTGTGACACGAAGTGTGCCAATATCTCAAATTCAGTCACAACACCATTTGGATTTGATTTGATTTAGGATCTACAGATTGATACGAAACAATGTCGCAATTCTTGTCCGGGGATTGGACCGCCAAGGCTCCCGCCTTGGTCTGCCACCCGATTCGCATTGCACCGGACCCTTCATGTTCCTCCTGCGGGTGGTGGGTCCACAGTTGGACGAGTCCATGTATCCGGTTCGGGCTGGGCCCGGCCGGGCCCCATGGGCGAAAGCCCGGCCACCAGGCGCTCGCTCACGGGCCCCAACCCCAGGCCTGGCTCCAGGGTGGGACCCCGGTAACCCTCCGGGCCGGGTACTCCGACTCTTCGTTTTAACCGCCATGAAAGATCCTTCGAACCGTTCTTTGTCTCACCCTTCACCTAAGACCTATTTGTCATGGGAGACCCTACCAGGGGCACTAAGTGCCCCAGACAACATAGCTCCTAGGATCATTAGGGCACTCAAACTCCTCCACCACGATAAGGTGACGGTTCAAGGGGGCTTGCCACCTCCGGGTCGGGGGAGAGGTCCTACCTCAAGTGGAGGAGTTTAAGTATCTCGGGGTCTTGTTCACGAGTGAGGGTAGGAGGGATCGGGAGATCGACAGGCGGATTGGTTCGGCGTCTGCAGTGATGCGGACGCTGAGCCGATCTGTCGTGGGGAAGAGGGAGCTGAGCCAGAAAGCCAGGCTCTCGATTTACCGGTCGATCTATGTCCCAATCCTCACCTATGGTCATGAGCTTTGGGTAATGACCGAAAGAACGAGATCGCGGATACAAGCGGCCGAAATGAGTTTCCTCCGTAGGGTGGCCGGGCTCAGCCTTAGAGATAGGGTGAGGAGCTCGGACATTCGGGAGGGACTCGGAGTAGAACCGCTGCTCCTCCGGATCGAAAGGAGCCAGTTGAGGTGGTTTGGGCATCTGGTCAGGATGCCTCCTGGACGCCTCCCCGGGGAGGTGTTTCGGGCATGTCCTGCCAGCAGAAGGCCCCCGGGTCGACCCAGGACACGTTGGAGAGGTTACATCTCCAATCTGGTCCGGGAACGCCTTGGGGTCCTGCCGGAGGAGCTGGTGGACAAGGCCGGGGAGAGGGCGGCCTGGAGCTCCCTAATTGGGATGCTGCCCCCGCGACCCGGACCCGGATAAGCGGAGGAAGACGAAGACGAAGACGAAGACAATGTCGCAATTCTGACTGGGCTGCAAGCATGTACAGGAAATTTTGAACAATCCATCCATCCAACCTCTGCCTCCTGATGCCCTCCAGACTTCTTGGCACTAATTCAATCATCCATCCATCTATTCTCTTCCACTTCTCTGAGGTCGGGTCGCGGGGGCAGCAGCCTGAGGAGAGAGGCCCAGACTTCCCTCTCCCAAGCCACTTTGGCCAGCTCCTCCAGGGGAATCCTAAGGTGTTCCCTGACCAAAATACATAGTCCCTCCAGCGTGTCCTTGGACTCCCTTTAGGCCTCCTCCCGGTTGGACTCCCGGAAAACCTCACCAGGGAGGCGTCCAGGAGGCATCCTAACCAGATGCAAGAGCCACCTCAACTGGCTCCTCAATGTGGAGGAGCAGCGAATCTACTCTGAAATTTAAATGTCCCACAGAGGGTCCAGACACCCTGCAGAGAAAACTCATTTCGACCACTTGTTTCCGCAATCTCGTTCTTTTGGTCACTACTCAAAGCTTTTGACCATGGATGAGGGATGGAACACAGATTGACCAGTAAATCGAGAGCTTCACCTTCCGGCTCAGCAGTCTCTTCACCACGACAATCGATTTCACTCTCCATCTTTCCCTCACTCGTGAACAAGACCCCAAGATACTTAAACTCCTCCACTTGGGGCAGAACCTCATCCCTGACCTGAAGAAGGCATTCTGCCCTTTTCTGTTTCAGTTTTGAATAAATCAATCAAGTTTAAATTAAGACAATTATCGGTAAAAGTCAAATACGATCAGTTCCTGTTCCTGTAGGGAACATGTTCACCTGGAACAAAGAAAAGCAGCAACCTTAGGGGTTAAAAATGGGAAGGGACCAATTATTTGATGTTTTCATTATCAATGAATCATTTTGGCTTTTTTCAGTTGACTGGATGAAGATTTACAGTTTGATTATCTCGCTGTATTCCCAACAGTCCAATGATTAAACTTTCCAGCGTAAATATGCATGGAATAAATAGTTGAACTCACCTTAGTGCCCTCACAAGCCTGGCCCTTCTTGTACTCCTTATGGGACATCCTCTTGTCCAGTTTGCTCCACAGAGCTTTGGCCTTCCAGGAAGTGACTTTCGCCTTCAGACCACTATAGAAGGTCTTGTGCTCGGCGGGGTCCAGGTCCAAACGTCTGCAGAGGACATTGAAGGCCTGAAGGGTTCCTTTACAGGTGGAAGCTTGGATGAAGTTCTCAAACAGCTTCCCCACGTTGTCGCAATCCTCCTCCATCTCCCCCATCGCTCTGGTGTGCCGTGAGTCCTGCTCGGCTCAGCTCTCCCTGCCTGATGTGGCTACACCCTCAGCTCAGCTCGCACCGTCATGCCCATTCTGGAGGAGGCAAGACACACATGAGTGACATCATCTCATGGCAAAGACTCCAACAGATGGCTTTGAGCAACTCGTGTTTTTCCACTTCTACTTTCTGCTGCATAAAACAGTATTCATTAGCAGGTTTTTGTACCTTTGAATGGATTTTGATAGAAAAATTGGAGGTGGCTGAGCTGCTTTACAGCAGAAGAAACTCTGAGATTCCTCAGCGTGTTATCTCACTCTGCAGGCATTTTGAAACATGCTACTCTTACACCCTCGTCGATAAGATAACGTTTCAAGAACAGACAAAGCCTTAAGATACAAGAAGAATAATCAGATCGAGCCAGTCGGTCAACATCAGCCAGCTGCTGAACATTTTTACCACTTCCGCTTTACAGAGGCAGCCACAGGAACCTATAAATGGAGTTTTGTGGTTTCACATCATACTTAAATGTTTACGAAAGAACTCAGCAGCTCTACAAAGAACAAGAGTAAAATTAACAGAACATTTTTATATGAATAAATAATATAATGCACTTTACATCAGAGACTCCACACATAAGTGAAAAGGTGGATAAATAATCAAAATGATCAAGAGCAAACACTGGGAAGAGTCTGAAACTGCTATTTAGTCTAGAGGGTTTTTGGGAGTTTATATTTGGGTATCTTGGCTCAAATGTTGAGTGTCTAACAGATCAAATATCATTATCATGGTCCCAGGAGTGTTGACGAGCTTTATCAGTGCAGAAGCATCGAAGCCTTAAAAGTCCTAATTTATACAATTATTATCAATTCTGGTTTTATATTTTATATTTAAAGGTTTATTTCACCATTTTACTATTTCCTGTTTGTGTATTTTTGCAAAAATGTATAAAAAAAGGCTCCAAATGAACTTTTAGAGTTGGTTTTAAGAGGTCTCTAATGAGGCCAGAGTGGATAAACATTTTTATCCAGGAGCAAAAGTATTAGTCTGGTGATGTTTTAAATTCCAACAGAAAACCAGACTTTAGGTTAAAAAAGGGCCTCGTGTGTCTAAATATACCCTAAACTCAGACCCAACCAAGACCCATAGATGATTGTTTATACTTGTCTAATGATTTACTTTGAAATGAGGTGTGTGTGTGTGTGTGTGTGTGTGTGTGTGTGTGTGTGTGTGTGTGTGTGTGTGTGTGTGTGTGTGTGTGTGTGTGTGTGTGTGTGTGTGTGTGTGTGTGTGTGTGTGTGTGTGTGTGTGTGTGTGTGTGTGTTGAGTATGCCTGCGTGTGAAAGGCATTGTTACTAAAAACACACATTTGTGTCACAAAAGGAGCTGAACTGACAGAATTAAAGCACACTGCTGCCAGTCCTTCCCTCCTAACCAACAAGCACTTTGAAAATCCGTGCCAGAGCTCGACATCAAAGAAAGTGTTCTGCGTTAATCATGTGGCGTGTTGACTTGGGTGGAGACCGCAGCTTCCGTGATTTTTAGGGGTGGCCTGTGTTTGAAATTTTAATGTCCCACAGAGCGGAGTTGGACACTGAGACACGGCTTTAGACGCCCACAGAAAACTAGCAGCAGAGCCGGAGAAGGCTGAACGACCACCATGTTGGTCAGAGGCAGCTTCGGGATGAGATAACCATTTAGGCATTCACGTTTTTGAATGTGTTTTGAATGATTCGAAGATTTGAATCCTGTTCCAACAGCAAAAACATTTCTCCTCAGGCTAAAATTAGCATTTCAGTTTGCATAAGATCCTGTTTGGTCCCGTGTTTCCATCCTGTTGTGGTGCTGTTGCTTGAGAGAAATGCCTGGGCTGAGAGAAAGCCAAGCAGCCTGTGGCACTGCTGCATACTCAGATCAACCTTTCCACACCTTCATACAGTCCTGTCAGCAGATCCTATGGAGGCCCTCTCACCAAACATCTACCTCAATAGAGCGGTGACATTCTTTTGGCAGGTGGCTGCAGAGCTCCATCAACAGTCTGGTCCGCCAAGCAGTTCATAATAATGCCGTCGTTTCTTTGAAAATGTGCTTATTATCACCAAATAACAGGAAATGACCGAGTTTAGCATGATTATATAAGAAAAACATTTATCCATCATATCTGAAGCGTTAGTTCAGGCCCTTCTAAGAGTCTGTGCAGCATTTATGAATAGTTACTTTAAAGGTGTACATAATTCAGTTCAATTCAATTCAATTCAAAAATACTTTATTAATCCCAGAGGGAAACTGATTGCTGTAGTAGCTCAGAATAAAAAGAATAATCAAGTCATCATTTGTTGTATATTACAATGGCTGTTGGCAGGAAGGATCTCCAGTAGCGGTCAGTGTTGCAGCGAAACTGAAGAAGCCCCTTACTGAAGGCACTCTTCCGTTGTCGGACAGCCTTGTGAAGAGAATGATCAGGGTTGTCCATAATTTTCTTGATTCTCTGGAGAATCCATCTTTGCATCATCTCCTCCAGTGGTTCCACAGTCGTCCCCAGAACAGAACCAGCCTTTTTTATTAGGCTGTTGAGCCTTTTCAGGTCCCTGCTTCTGATGCTACTACCCCAACAGACGATGGCTGAAGAGATTACACTCTCGACAACAGACTTGTAGAAGATCTGCAGCATCTTGCTACTGACATTGAAGGACCTAAGCGTCCTCAAGAAGAGCAGTCTGCTGTGTCCCTTCTTGTAAACGGCTTCACTGTTTTTACTCCAGTCCAGTCTGTTGTCCAGGTGAACTCCAAGGTATTTGTATTCCTCAACCACCTCCACTTCTTCTCCCATGATGGAAACAGTATTTGACTCCACCCTGTTTCTTCTGAAGTCTAAAATCATCTCCTTTGTTTTGTTCACATTCAAGGTCAGATGATTGTTTCCACACCATGCCACAAAGCGCTCCACCAGCTCTCTGTACTCAGCTTCCTTTCTCTGATACACCCGACAACTGCAGAGCCATCTGAGTATTTCTGTAGATGACAGGTCTCTGATTTGTGCTGGAAGTCTGAGGTCTACAGGGTGAAAAGGAATGGTGAGAGTACAGTCCCCTGTGGTGCTCCAGTGTTACTGATCGCCTGGTTTGATGTGCAGTTCTTCAGCCTCACAAACTGTGGTCTGTTTGTCAGGTAATCTTTAATCCAGGTGATAGTTGAGGTCCCCACCTGGGTCTTCTGGAGTTCCTGGCAAAGTACATCAGGCTGGATTGTGTTAAATGCACTGGAGAAATCAAAGAACATGACCCTCACAGTGCTGCCTGCTTTGTCCAGATGACAGTGGATTGGTTGAAGCAGCTGGATGATGGCATCTTCAACTCCAACTCCATGGCGATAAGCAAACTGCAGCGGGTCCTGATATGTCCTAGTTTGCTTATTCAGGTGGACCAACAGGAGTCTCTCCAGGACCTTCATGATGTGGGATGTCAGGACAACCGGTCTGTAGTCGTCATTGACTGATGGGCGAGTTTTCTTTGGAACTGGAACAAGGCAGGATGTCTTCCACAGGACTGGGACCTTCTCCTGGGCAGGGCTGAGGTTGAAGAGGTGCTGCAGAATCCCACAGAGCTGCTCTGCACAGGCCTTCAGTGCACTGGGGCTGACACAATCTGGACCTGAAGCCTTGTTCCTGTTCAGTCTCTCCAGCTGCCTCTTCACTTGACTTCTAGAGACAGATAGGTGGGAGGGGGAGATAAATGGAGCAGCAGCATCTCCTTACTAGGTTGAAGACAGATTTATAGAACCAGAAGAGTCCATGACTGCGTTAGAGGACAAAAGATCTGGCGTGTGACAGGAAAATGTTGGATCAGAGGAGGATGGGATGTCTGATTGGTTGGGGACAGGCGAGGAGGATGCTGGGTTTGTTCCTGAACTGAACCTATTGAAGAACTTGCTCAGTTCATTGGCTTTGTACAGTTTGCCATCTGTGCAATCCATCCTCTACTTGAAGGTTGTGATCTTCTTCATCTCTGACCAGACATTTCTGATATTGTTCCTCTGTAGTTTGTTCTCCAGCTTTTTCCTGTATGCCTCCTTGCTGTCTCTGATCTTGATCTTCAGTTGCTTCTGTATACTCCTCAATAATTCCCTGTCTCCCTCCTTGAAGGCTCTTTTTTTCTCATTTAGCAGATTCTTCAGTTCACTGGTGATCCAGGGTTTGTTATTAGCGAAGCATCTCACTGTTCTGGTGGGTTGTCCACACAGAAGTTTATATAGTCAGCGACACATACAGTCATGGCATTGATGTCCTCTGCATGTCCGTGGCAGAGAGTTATCCAATCTGTGGTCTCAAAACAACCCTGCAGGGCTTCTTCAGCATCCTGTGACCATTTTCCCACAGTTCTTCTTGTCACAGGTTGCCTCTGAACAAGTGGTTTGTATTCTGAGCAGAGAAAAACAAGATTGTGATCTGATTGTCCCAGAGGAGGCCTATTTTTGGACATGTATGCAATCCTTACATTTGCATAACACAAATCCAATGTCTTGTTTTCTCTGGTGGAGCAGCTGACAAACTGATGAAATGTTGGAAGTGTAGCAGAGAGCGAGGCATGATTAAAATCACCAGATATAGCCACAAATGCATTGGGGTGCTGGGTTTGTAGCTTAGCGACAACGGAACTGAAGGCCTCACATGCACTTTCAGCAATGGCTGAGGGTGGAATATAAACGGTTGCCAAGACAACACTGGTGAACTCTCTTGGCAAATAATATGGGCGACAACTTACTGCCAAGAGTTCAACATTTGGGCTGCAGAGACGACCTTTCACTGAAACATGACATGGATGGCACCATCTGTTGTTGACAAGCACTGCCACTCCACCTCCTTATCTTTTCCCGCTCCTCTTCAGATCTCTGTCTGCTCGTACAGTCAGGAATCCTGGCAGAGAGACGCTGGAATCAGGGATATGGTCCTGCAGCCACTTCTCAGTGAAACACATAACACTGCACTGCCGATACTCTGGCTGAGTCCTTGAAAGAGCCTGGAGTTCATCCATCTTGTTGGCCAGTGATCTCACATTGCCCATTATGATCGATGGAAGAGATGGTTTGAATTTCCTCTTTCTCCGTCTCCGTTTTGCTCCCGCTCTGCACCCAAGTTTCTTGCGTTTTAGCTCATTTGGGATTTGTGGCTTCAGTTGATGTATTATTTCAGGCTTTCCAATGTTAATCAGCTGCTCCCGATTGCAAACCAGCTTGTTGCCATGGTTACGCATAATAACAAATGCTCAAAAAGTGAAAAAAGTGAAACAATAGCAGTAAAAATCCTCCAAGCTTCACAGCACCAGAAACACAAAAGTAAAATGTCCAAAAAAATACCATTTTTCTTGAGAAACTAGAAGAAGAAATGTCCAAAAAAAAGGCTAAACTTACATACAGTCAACAGAGCTACTCCAACATGCAGCCACCCAGAGCAGCGCAGTTCCATGCTTCAATAAGTAAGAATGACATCCTGTGGTCAAATCTTTGATGACTGTTGCCAGTTAAGGATCAGCACCTAGATGACAAGCGAATACGGGTAGTATTAGTATTACATGTGTCTGACATTAGAGAGTGCAGTCGTTTGCCATCTTGCTGTTAGCTTGCAGTTATAGTTCTGAACGGCCCATCAAAGGAAGTAAAATGCCACAATTTACTCATTATTCACTTTACACAAACATTTTTCTGTAGTACCGAGTTGTTGGTAACTGAAAAAGTAGTTTCACATGTTATTAGCTGACAATTTGCTTCTAATTCACCATTAGCATTGTTAGCTTAATGTTAGCCTCTAGCCAGCTTCACCTGATTTTAGAGTAAAAAAAAAAGAAGCTGTGGCTTTTTAGGGGTACAAGAAATAACTTCTGGGTCGCTCCTGTTTACTGGCTTCAGTTGTATTTTACCTGCTAGTGTTGAATTACAAATGCCAGTGCCACTACGTTAGCTCGGCACAGACTCAGCAATTCCACTGGCTCACAGATTTTAAACAGTGTCTACGTCCCTCTAGGGAAATATGTTTCATTGTCCTTCCAGCTGTCACACCCTGTCCTGTCTCCCCATTTGGTTCAGCCTGCGTCTCTGTTAATTTCTCCCACCTGCCTCTCGTTTTCCAATCACCCAAGCTCCCAGCCCTCTTGTATTTAAACTCCTTCAGTTCTGTGTCTCTTTGTGGATCATTGTTTCATTGTCCAGCGTGTGTTCACTATTAAATACTCCAAACTCATTCTGGTTTGTCTGCCTGCCTGCCTGCTTCCCTCACCCGCGTGTGGATCCTTGTATCTGCCTCACTCACTGGCACAATGTGACAGAATGATCCACCCCACTAAAGGATCCAGCGGGGAGATTCTCCCCTGGGAGTGCCTGCTCCAATTTCTCTCCTCGGACCACCGTCCGGCTTCTCCTCCTCCAGCGTCGCCTTGCCGCAGACGCCACCACCGAACTTCAGCCTCGGTGATCCTCTCCACCCTCCCGGAGCCAGATGAGAGGTTGGACCGGGAGACACTACCAGACCGCTCCTGCTACGTGGGCACCAGACTGGCTGTGTGCTCCCCCGGAGTTTGCCCACAGCGTGGAGAAAGATGCCGGGCTCCACCGCAACCCTGTGTCCCAGGACGGAGCCGCGAGCTCGCCGCTGCCCCGGCTTGGCGCTCCAGCTTGGACCCGCCCCCAGTCAGACCAGCAGTCCCATCTCTGGTCCAATAAGCGCCTCCGTCATCTGCAGGCGGAGGGACCACGCCTACAGCCCAGCTGACAGAGCTCGCCAGTCTCCAGGCGGAGCTTGGCCGGATCCGTCAGCTCGTCAGCCTCCAGGAGTCCCACCTGGACACCCTATCCTCCCCGAATCACCAGGAGAAGGTTTCAGTCCAGTCAGCAGCTCCCTCGTCTCAGGGCCAGAGGAGCAAGCCTGCGGTCCACCCAGCAGAGCTCGCCGGTCTCCGAGCTGAGCTGGCCCTACTCCATCAGACCCTCAGTCTCCAGGAGCTCCAGCTGGACGGTCTGTCCTCCCTGCTCTCCCAGTTTCCGGCACCTCCAGTTCGGTTCGCTCTGGTCCCGGCGGTGACCCAAGAGGCTCTTCCCCCGGGCCGGCCAGTCCAGAAGTCAGCAGCTCCTCCTGCAGCGGCTCTGCCTCCACTCCAGAAGTCGATGGTTCCGGTCCAGAAGTCAGCGGTCCAGAAGTCGGCTGTCCAGAAGTCGACGGTTCCGGTCCAGAAGTCAGCGGTCCAGAAGTCGGCGGTCCAGAAGTCGGCGGTCCAGAAGTCGATGCCTCCGGACCAGAAGTCGACGCCCCCAGACCAGAAGTTGACGGGGGTCAATGCCTCTTCCAGTCCTGTGGTCGATGCCTCTTCCAGTCCTGTGGTCGACGCCTCTTCCAGTCCTATGGTCGACGCCTCTTCCAGTCCTGTGGTCGATGCCTCTTCCAGTCCTATGGTCGACGCCTCTTCCAGTCCTGTGGTCGACGCCTCTTCCAGTCCTATGGTCGACGCCTCTTCCAGTCCTGTGGTCGATGCCTCTTCCAGTCCTGTGGTCGACGCCTCTTCCAGTCCTGTGGTCGACGCCTCTTCCAGTCCTGTGGTCGACGCCTCTTCCAGTCCTGTGGTCGACGCCTCTTCCAGTCCTGTGGTCGACGCCTCTTCCAGTCCTATGGTCGACGCCTCTTCCAGTCCTATGGTCGACGCCTCTTCCAGTCCTGTGGTCGACGCCTCTTCCAGTCCTATGGTCGACGCCTCTTCCAGTCCTGTGGTCGACGCCTCTTCCAGTCCTATGGTCGACGCCTCTTCCAGTCCTGTGGTCGATGCCTCTTCCAGTCCTGTGGTCGACGCCTCTTCCAGTCCTGTGGTCGACGCCTCTTCCAGTCCTATGGTCGACGCCTCTTCCAGTCCAGAGGTCGACGCTCTTTCCAGTCCAGAGGTCGACGCTCCTTCATGTCCAGAGGTTGACGCTCCCTTGTGTCCAGAGGTCGATGCTCCCTCGTGTCCAGAGGTTGACGCTCCCTCGTGTCCAGAGGTCGACGCTCCCTCATGTCCAGAGGTCGACGTTGCCTCGTGTCCAGAGGTCGACGTTCCCTAGTGTCCAGAGGTCGATGCTCCCTCGTGTCCAGAGGTTGACGCTCCCTCGTGTCCTGAGGTCGACGTTCCCTCGTGTCCAGAGGTCGACGTTCCCTCGTGTCCAGAGGTCGACGCTCCCTCGTGTCCAGAGGTCGACGCTCCCTCCAGTCCAGAGGTCGGCGTTCTCTCCAGTCCAGAGGTCGACATTCTCTCCAGTCCAGAGGTCGGCGTTCTCTCCAGTCCAGAGGTCGACGTCCCCTCCAGTCCAGAGGTCGACATCCCCTTCAGTCCAACGTCTCCGCTGTCTCCAGTCCTGTGGTCGACGCCGTCTCCTCCAGTCCAGTGGTCGACGCCGTCTCCTCCAGTCCAGAGGTCGACGCCATCTCCTCCAGCCCAGAGGTCGACGCCGTCTCCTCCAGCCCAGAGGTCGTCGCCGCCGCCTCCAGTCCAAAAGTCAAGGACGTCTCCTCCAGCGTCTCTGCCTCCGGTCACCGCCAGTCCCGCCCTCGCCAGACGCAGGCCCCCAAGAGCCCATCGTCGCCTCCACCTCTGCCGCAGACGCAGGCCCCCAAGAGCCCGTTGTCGCCTCCACCTCTGCCGCAGACGCAGGCCCCCAAGAGCCCGTCGTCGCCTCCTCCTCTGCCGCAGACGCAGGCCCCCAAGAGCCCGTTGTCGCCTCCACCTCTGCCGCAGACGCAGGCCCCCAAGAGCCCGTCGTCGCCTCCTCCTTTGCCGCAGACGCAGGCACCCAAGAGCCCGTCGTCGCCTCATCCTCTGCCGCAGACACAGGCCCCCAAGAGCCCGTCGTCTCCTCCTCCTCTGCTGCAGACGCAGGTCCCCAAGAGCCCGTTGTCGCCTCCACCTCTGCCGCAGACGCAGGCCCCCAAGAGCCCGTCGTCGCCTCCTCCTCTGCCGCAGACGCAGGCCCCCAAGAGCCCATCGTCGCCGCCTCCTCTGCCACAGACGGAGGCCCCCGGACTCTACTGGTCCCTGCCTCCTCTCCATCAGCCCCTCGGTCCCTCTTGGCCCTCCCTCCGGATCCCCCTCCTCCCACCCTGCTCTGTGTTCCTATGGGCGTCTGAAATCTGGCCTTTTGGGGGGGGGGGGGCTGTCACACTCTGTCCGGTCTCCCCATTTGGTTCAGCCTGTGTTAAATGCTCCCACCTGCCTCTCATTTTCCAATCAACCAAGCTCCCAGCCCTCCTGTATTTAAACCCCTTCAGTTCTGTGTCTCTTTGTGGATCATTGTTTCATTGTCCAGTGTGTGTTCACTATTAAAGACTCCAAACTCATTCTGGTTTGTCTGCCTGCCTGCTTCCCTCACCCGCGTGTGGATCCTTGTTTCTGCCTCACTCACCGGCACGCGCTGACACCAGCATGATTGAGACTTTAGACCAGGGCTATTAAATTGCGGGCCTCGAGGGCCGATGTCCAGCATGTTCTGCTTCAACTCACCTGATTTCAATTAGTAGGTGATTAACAGGCTTCTGCAGAGCCTAATGAGCTGCTGCACATGTGATTCAACCACTGAATCAAGTGTGTTGGACCAGAGAAACCACTAAAACATGCTGATACCGGCCCTCGAGGGCCGCAATTGAATAGCCCTGCTTTAGACTGTTTTGTGATTATGTCACTGCCACAACTCAGCCTTCACATTACAGGCTAGTTTACACAGATGTGGCTATTTATGGCAAGAATTAGCAGCAGCTAGCTGTCACGTTACAATTCTGGTCAGAATTGTCTAATTTTTCTGATGTGAACTTCTCTGCAGTGGGAAAGTTTATTGACATTTGCATGAATTTCAAAGCAGAAATATTGAAAGATGGCAACAAATTTGCATTGCTGCTGTTATAGTGTGAGTTTGGTAAGAATTACGTGCAATTACAGCAGATTAATAATTTTTTTCAACAACAGGTAAAATGCTAATGTATCAACACAATTCAACAAAAAGTACTTCAAAAGCTCTTAACTTGTGTTGAGTTTAATATGGATTTATTATTTACATTTCCACAAGCAAATTGTTATAAAAAAAAGATCAAATTACTTTAAGTTTGTAATCTTTCTCAGAAACAGCCAACAGTATTTTAATGATTAACAAAACTTTGGCCACAGTAAAGTAAGTTCTCGAGCTTTCAGTGAAACGTTCTAATAAAGACATTTTAGCTGCTCTTTATTCACTCATTGCCAATTTAGCAGTTAAACATCCATGATCACTGGAAACATCTGCTGTGTGAATCAGTGGAGGACTAATGAAAAGGTACCACTTACTGTCTTCTTATGCAGGTCGATGCTCAGCACTGATCGTGCATTATCTCTGACACACAACCATGACTTCACCGTGTGGAAAGTCACTTGTGGGCAGACAGAAGGAACCCACAGAGCAGCTTTTTAAAAAATTACTAATGAAATGGAAAAAATGCATCATTCGTTCACCCAGAGCTAAAACGGTCAACAGGACAAGAGTTTGACAGCACGC